ACGTCTTCAGTGATGTTGCTATCGGGTCTGAAAATTCACCATCACTAAATTGAAATATCATAGATTGTTATGTTATACTACTGATATCAACCTTTAATTACTATAAATAAGCCAGAAATCCAACGATTTTGCTTGAGCTGCCTTGAACTCAAGGCTGTATAATTACTGAGCAATTATTGCACGAGGCTGAGTATGATATGAAGAGTTATGCAGATCGAGGGGGTTATCCGCCAAAGCCGAAGGCTTGAGCCCGGTGGATAACACCCTCCGAGATCTCTATATCTTCATATCATACGAAAGCCGAGTTCAATAATTGTTTAATTATTCATTCAAAATATTTACACGGCTAAACAAAACGGTAACTGAAAATAATTTAGTGAATGAAAAATCAATTATAGAACAGATTCAGAAAAAAGTAGCAAAAATTATGCAGAGTTTACTCACCAGATAGAGAAGGTTTTCCATTTTGTTTGGAAAAGTAATGAGAAATTTTAAGAGATCTCTTCTTTGCATTACTAGTGGTATGTGAAGTCTCGTCGTTCGTATTTATGTTGCCGTGTACCATGTGCACTTCTTTGTTCCTAATAACCGCCGGATTGTATGTTCCTTGATGACCAGAGCTATACACAATTCTGCGGTTTAAGTACTTTCGATGACAAAATGTTTTTACAAACAGACCGCGTTCAACAAAACTTGCAATTGGAATGCTCAACGAGCCGTGAAGCCTGACATCAAAAGACGGACTTCGCGCTGATCGAGCTAAAATCAGGACGCACAATAACAAGAGAAACAATAACTTCATGATCTTCCAAAAATCAAGGTTGATACTAATAAACAATTTGTTTTAGAATCGCCTTATAAACTAAACCCAGTTATTACTTTGGATCGAAATTGACCAATTACGAAACAACGCGTTTTCCTGAGAGGTTCGCAGGAAAAAGAAGCCATTTGAAAGACGTTAACCTCTGCTGGGTTAGAAGCGAAAAAATATTTTACAATTGTAACGACTAATGCTTCATTCTGTTTATTTATCTGCGCGTTTGTCTTTGCCAGTAACTCTGGTCACTTTCGACTTAACGATCTTTTGCTATTTTTCACTCCGTTACTTCTGTTAAATTATTTTTTGTTTAATTTATTTTTATTCTTGCAAAAAAGTGGGGGGGCTAAAGCCCCCCCAGCCCCTCCCTCTGCGCGGTCCCTGAGTCAAAGGTGATTTGACGATCGCGTCGTATCGCTCGTAAGATATCGCCACCAGATGAAGAACAGTGTTAAGGTAAAAATATCTCGCTAAAAATGCATTAAGCTGGCACATTGTATCGCCGTATAACCAATTCTCGTACGCAAAACTAGCAATGCGGAATGAGTTGATAAAGATTAAACACAGAAAGTCTGACAGTGCGAGACTGGCCAACAAAATATACCGCATGATGTGAAATCTCTCTTCAAATGCGATAGTTATTATTACCAGTAAATTACCAGGAATACCAACTATAGCGATTATAGCGTTAACTGCTGCAATCACCTGGAGGAATACCATGATGGCGTTGAAACTCAGCTGTTAAAGCTTTCTTTCTGCTGCTTCTTTGCAACAACTTGAAAACAACCTTGTGAACAACTGTCAAGAACATGTGGGCTGACTAATAGTTACAAACACCTCGAAGAGATTTTGGGAGGAAATTATGCTTTTGCCATGGTAAACGTCAGAATTGGCTTTAGAAAACCGTGATTAATACAGAACATTGTTTATTAGTAATTTCCATAGTCTGGTGGGCTGAAAGAACTCCTCCGCATTGAAAAATGACGATAAATTAATCGTTGATGTACAATCAAGAACCTTATCACAGTTTATAAACACATCATGCCAGTCTGCTTGCCAAATTGGACGCAAATTTATAGTTATATTAAAACAACACAGAAAAATTTAAAAGCGATTAAAGTCTCAGTCTTTGTTGTTTTTTAGTTTCCAGCTGGTCCCAATTACAAAAATAAAGTAAAATAAAAAGAAAGACCAAAACCGATCTTACGGAAATTACTACATGTTACCTCAACGAAACATTGTTCTGTCCCGTTCAAGGTTCTGATGCTTAACAAAGCAAAAGCATTTCATTGGTTATCCAAGGCTCATAATTTCCCCCCAAAATTTCGTCAAGGTGTTTGTAATTATTAGCGTCCACACCTTCTTGTCAGCGAGGTCGTCAGTGTTCCGTAGCTTTAGCAGCAACAGCTAAGTTTTAACCGCTGTTAGTTTCAGATCATGATCCGTGATGATAATTCAAATCACTGTGACAGATCATGCCCTTTTTATGGTCAAAAGATAGCTAAGTTTTTAATCCGAAAAGACAAAGAAAATCATTTTGTAGAAACCAGAGACAACCCGGCTCCAGAGGCCCGTTCTGGAAATACCTAGCCTGTTCAGCCTGTTCAGCCTGTTCACAGACCGTCTATTTCCTCTTAAAAGTCCACCGAGCCCGCGTGATAAAAATAGAAACCGTGGAGATTAAGGTGGCTCGACCCAGTGTTTTTGTAGGTACACCTTCCATCTTCGAATCTCTTAGACTCAAACAAATTTATCTTTATTGTAAAACCATTATAACACATGTATTACACATAGACAAACATTAATATTATATTATTTTTTGGGCGATCGGAATGAATATCCCGTGGCAATGACGTCACAATAATTTTCGCTCTAAACGTATTGGAGGAATTTCAAGATATCATGGAATTTCTACAAAAAGGGTGTAAACTATGCATGACCTGAAGGCTGAACTTATTGCAGACAAATTTGGTAGGTTTTGGATGTTTCCGAAAGGTTTCTATCACACATGCTTACGGTCTGCGTCGTGACTCGCCGTCGCGGCTTCTCGGAAATTGAAAACAGAAAAAGACACCACTGGCACCCAGCAGGATAACCAGAGACTGGCAAAAACGCAGCAGCATAATCGTTTATTAAACTTTGAGCGTTTCCAGTGGGGCGTTAACTGCGTTAATTCAAGGGCGGCGTTTATTTCGAAATGACGTTTTTTCATCACTGACAACAGTTACTGTAAATCGTTTTTAATGTCTCCCTTAGTTTGCTAAGATAGAATCGTAAATGTCTGGATGGTGTAAATTACCAAGTTGTACTGAGGTTTTTCTTATTATTCTCGAGTAAACGCCGTATTCTTCTAATAGGTGCGGCGTTTTTTCGAGGGCGGCGTTTATTGGTAATTTTGCTTCTATCTGCGGCGTTTGATCGAGGGCGGTGTTTAATCGAATAAAGTGCGGTACACTGCAGTACCCTGGGTGCCAAAGGGTTTTTTTTTCCGAGAACGGACCTCTGGAGCCAAGTAGGTACACAGAGTGTGCGACACAAGAGTTGAGTTTCGTTTTTAGCGTAAGCCAGTTTAGACAGCACTGTTGTAAAATAATCTACAGAAGACATGGTCGAACCTCCAAGTGCGACCCCCTCTCGTATAAGCGACCATATCTCGTATGCGACCGCAACCGGCACTTTTTGAGCTGACGATCTTGCAATTTTCCATTGTTTTTAACCTCTTGTAAGCAACCACTTGACGCGTGGTCTGATCTCTTCCGGGCGGTTCGAAGTATGTAATATTAGGCCACTCACTGTATGCGAAGACCTTTGAATGATGATATGGAAATTCAAATATCGCAACTTAAAAAATACATCCAACAAACCCTCTATAAAATTACTGTTCGAAGGAGCAAATATTGCCTAGAAATTTCTAAAGCTTGGAAAAGCTAACACTTTGTGGATAACCGTTCCATTCGTCTGAAATATTCGGACATTTTCTAACAGCTTAACTACGATTTTCAGACGTCGTGTTAGTCACATTTTAATACCAAGATATTGCGATTGTTGTTAAAAAAAAAAGGTCTCCTAAAAGTTTCGATGTACAGACAAAACGTCCTCTAAAATTTTCTGATGAAAGCAGGGCTACTCGTACTTTCGACCGAACCCATAAGGGTAGCTAACACTTTCAGATGAGACGAAAAAGTCACCCAAAACTTTCGTGACGACCAGAGTTCGCCTGAGACATGCGAACAGATAAATAGTTTTTAGGGCAACTCCAAATTGACCAAACAGGCTTCTTAAGCACAGAGAAAACCATTTGAGACACTTCTGGTGTATTTGGAAACATTGGGTCGTTGGGTGCCCCTGCTTAACCTGCGATCAGGCGTTCTTTTTTCGGGATACGCCTCCAAAACCAAAGGGAAGAAGGACCTCCTAATCACAGGTTATATCTTACTCTGCAGCTAAGCATTTTACCAATGTTTAGCGTAGAATACAATATTGAGAACAGGAAGACGTCGCAAATATCCTGTACGTTGAGGTCTTTTTACAGTTTAATGAAAGCAATAACCTTTTAGATATTGATGATGGAAAGGCTACGACATGATGAGTGATGTTTTTCATCCTTTTCCGCTCAGCTGGACCCGGATTTCTGTCAGGTAAAGTCTCAACCGCCATATAAAAACACGTTAAAAAAACCCATACTACTGATCTGCAAGACTGGGGGATGTAGACTTCTCATGGGTTGGTCAAGGAAGAGATGACCTGCCCCTGACACTCGCCTCTCATTTCGCGCGCCGCTCTCGCGAGATTTCTCGCAAATCCGCCACATGGAGAGCTTGCTCGCAGGCTAAAGAACAGACTCTTTAAGACCCTCAGGAATTGGTAAAATATATTGTCTTCTTCCTGCCATCTGGCAAAACTAAAAAGTGCTCCCAAACTTGAACACTGTAACACGGCTGAAATTACTAACTCCAGGTCCCAGTCTTTTCCTCCATACATGAAGTGCATGATGGCCGGTTTTGAGGTTTTTTATTGCCGGCCAATAACCTTGCTTTATCACTGCTGTAAGAAAGCGCCATGTCTTCATTTTCTTCTCAGTCTCTTCACAAATGTCACCTCATCCTTGTTTTGAATGCCATAACTGTGAAATAAACAGAATGGAAATTTCAGGACAAGTGGCCTATGTTTCCTAGACTTCCTTAACTTTATGATGCGATCAACGCGTTGGTGTAACCATTCAAATGAAACCTCTTCAGCAGTACTTTCACATGGGACTTTTTTTTAGCATGTAGCTCTAACTTTCCTATGGTGTTACCATTCAAATGACACCTCTTTTGCAGTACTTTCACATGGTACTTTTTATCTAGAGTGTGGTTTTAACTTTTGAGTCTGTGGATGAAATCCTATGGTGTTACCATTCAAATGAAACCTCTTCAGCAGTACTTTCACATGGTACTATTTATTTAGTATGTAGTTCTAACTTTGAGTCTGTGGATGAAATCCTATGGTGTTACCATTCAAATGAAACCTCTTCAGCAGTACTTTCACATGGTACTATTTATTTAGTATGTAGTTCTAACTTTTGAGTCTGTGGATGAAATCCTATGGTGTTACCATTAAAATGAAACCTCTTCAGCAGTACTTTCACATGGTACTATTTATTTAGTATGTAGTTCTAACTTTGGGGCTGTGGATGAAATCCTATGATGTGACCATTCAAATGAAACCTCTTTCCCAGTACATTACTAATTCACAGGGTACTGTTTGTCATGTTTGGAATGTTTGGAATGTTTCTCAGTGTTTGCTTTGGCACTTCTGGGAGTGAAAGGGTTAAAATGACCGCTGAGATAGAGTACAAGATTTGAACTGGTTTGCACCTTAATATGGCCGGGTATCAGTGAGGGGTGAGGGGTCCCGGCAGCCAGCTCCCAGAGTACAAGAGGCAATTTCCATCACGTTTTACTAATCTTGTTGCACCCAACTTACTGGGAAAGAGGTTTGTGATCCTCCATTAACTTCTGGCCTTCAAATGACAGCCAGTATGTCTTCCATACATGCTTCCTGGTGAAAAAAAAAAAATCAAAATATTAGCTCTCCAAGCTCCAACAGTGATCAACTTGCTTTTATCATTCCATATTATTGTAAACTTTTAAACCCTCACAGTATCCGACATCTAAATTATCCTTGAACTATCACAGCTTGAACAGTCCTTACATGTGCCTAACAAAAAATTATAGCTAAGACAGGCTAAAAAAAACAGTTTGTTAGTTTATAGCCAGTAAGGTTAAATAGGATATGCTCTGTTATTTAAAAGACGTAAGGCATTTGCATTTGTGAGGAATGGCCTTTCAAATATCATTTTACAGGAGACATGCTCTGTTTTGACTTATGATAATTTTTGATTTGGTTTAGCCAGATAAATTTCTTTGCTATTTCTATCCATTCGTTAATGCTTTATGTGTGCTGATTGAGTTTTAAAAGTAATTATGAATATTTTTTTAACCGTTGGTGGTATTAAACATTGAAAATCATGATGTGGAAAAATGCAAATATGAATCTGCCACTTTTACTATATATACATTCAATTAAAATGTAGCCTGCGTAGCAGGTGCTTGGAAGTAGTGGGCACAAGAAAAAACGGGCGCGCGAGAAGGAGACACGCGACGGGAGAGGAAGCGCCTGCACGGAAGGCCCCCGAAAATCGTTTCCCGCCCCCTCTCTAATTATTACTTGGCAGCCGTTGCGTGATCTGTCAAAAGTTTTGACAGAAAACGACTGACCTCGCACAAACAAAGCAAGCCGCCAACAAGCGGTGTACATTTTATCTTCGGCTTCGGTCTAAATATATCTGTTATAAAGATCAGCTCGGTTATCTGATTATAGAGCGATGGAGCAATAAACTGATTGTGTTAACACACAGCTTTAAATCGTTTTTAACCATGGGCACAATAAATAGGAAATAACAAAGTCAAAACTGGGTATCTTTTAAAGAATGCATGCTGTGTATTATAAAAACTAAAAATATTGTTCTGGTCAGACACCAACGATCACAGCGTACATGGAAAATGACCATATTGCTTTTACTGCGCTAACTGGCAACCGTTTTTGGTGCAGACATGTCTTACTATAAAGCGGACCTAAACCTCAGAACACAAACTGTACCGACATGTTTTCTACTGCAGTAATGCTCAGTAATGAGACATAAACAACAGACCTCAGGTCGCCTCCGAACGGCGAATAATACTATAGTGAAATGTTTTTTTCAAATTCATGCCCCTGGTAAGTGTTTCATTTCATCAATCATGTCCAAGTTTTGATGGTATACGTTCCATCGACAGCACAAGCCGCCAAGTTCTCCCGAGCAAAGAATATTTCATCTGATCTTCATTGCAACGATTCGACAAATCTTTTGTCTCTCGCCACTTCTGCTGATGCGTATCCGATGTCAATTCTTTCCACCGTGAATACCGTTTAAACACTCCAACTTTTCTTTGAGATTACAGCCACATAGTCCCATTAAACCAGATTGAAGTGACCTCCGAGACCTGAACTTCGATTGTGTACAATCTAGTGGTTTCAGGACCCAGTGGTGTAATGCAAGATCTTCACTACGTTGTCCATGTACTATTGATTGACAGTTTTCTCGCCCCGCGCAGTTAATTTTTCCATCGGGAGCCTCTCGACCAATTGGAAATATCCGCACTCACAGAGTGCGAGTTGAAACGATTTTCGGGGGCCTTCCGTGCAGGCGCTCCCTCACCCCTTGCGTGTCTCCCTTGCGCGCGCCCGTTCTCTCTTTCACCCGCTACTTCCAAGCGCCTGCTACGCAGGCTAATTAAAATGTCACTATCTTGCATAATTTCAAAACGACTTTCAAGCAAATTTTACCTTATGGTAGTTTCTTTATGACATTTGTGTACTTTTTGATGGACAGTCAGTCTGCTATCACTTGTCGCGATGCATCACAAAAAGCATCTATCTCATTACATACATTTTCACATATGATGCACGGCAATAGGAAACAAACTCATTGAAAACTATTAAATAATTTAAATTTTCTCTTTGGGAAATAATAGTCCTTGTAGCAGATGACGTTAACGTCTATCCTCTGGACCATAGGTACCCATCGACGCCCTTTTTTGTACAGACTATTAATTGCCAGTAAGCTCATGCATTGGCCCTGAATTTAAAAAGTTTCTCCTGTCATTGTACCGCACAGGCAAAAATACAGCAACATAATTAAACATTACATTCTTTGGGGATATTACACAAAAATACATTTTAACCCCACTGTACAACAGTACATCCCAATAAATGAAACAGAACCCATTGACAACAACTTCAAATTACAACATACCAAGAAACAATGTTCGGGCCTCCTTCTCTAGACAGTTTCAGTGAAATGTGCCTTTGGATTGCCTTCTTCAAGTCATGCACAGTGGCATTTTGGATGACAACAACAGCTGAAAACAACATGTAACATATCTGTTTCATTTCATCTGTTATGTTTGTTTGCTTCGTTCTGCAAGCCTTTTTAGAGATATGCTAATGAATGGCATGGCATTCTAAAATTAATCCTATGATCCTTACGTAGAACAGTGCTCATCTCGTCATGTTGTCGAACATTCACTACAATGGCGCGGCCATGTTCGAGCGCAATCTGCGAGTTAACCTCTTCAAGTGTAGGCTGGCTAGGCAGTCCAACAAGAAGAGGATCACTCATTATCTCCGCCAGCTTTTCGCTAAAGAGGGACATCACCTCTGGATGTGAAAGACCGTCATTTTTCTGCTTTTCATCTGTTCCTTCGGCCGCCATACTTTTCAACATTATTCAATCCCAGACTCTCCCCGGTTTTTAGGGTCCAGTAATTAGCGGTTTTCCAACGCCTGCTTTCATTTGCTGATCGATCGCCGAGGGGATAAAGATTTTAGCGCATCAGGCATATCTTGTTAATTAGAAAAATAACTACAATGGAGAGGATCTCCGTGTTTTCACTCTGTAGCATTTTCCTTTTGATTAGCTACTGTGGATGTCCCAGTGGAGCGAAGAAAAAGAAAGATTTGGAAACCATTGTAGAGGTATAATCCAGTAATTATCAGCGCCGCTATTTTATTTATAGACAGAAACTTTGGGTCTTTATTCTTTTCCACGTCGCGATCTTCTTTGAAAAGCAGAAGATCCCAGAAAAAATGTCCTGAAAAACGGTAATTTAAAGCGCTATCACTATAATCTAGCCTGTGTGCAGAAGTCTCCCGTTTTGCTATATATATAGTAATTTGTTCCAGGCAGGGTTTTTTATACTTATAAAGTTTCGCCTTTATCAAGGTTTCTCTGATTCGCAAAAGTCGTCCTTTTCCAATTCTCGCATCAATAAGCTTTTCGACCATAATTGCGTTTCTTGGAAAAACGTCTTAGGTCGATTTCTAGGCATCATAATTTTGTAGAAGTTGTTTTGAACTGTGGCAGCTGACTATATTGTTACTTCTAATAAAAACTAAAGTTATTATTTTCAGTTCGTATAAATTACATGGAAGGAATCAAGATAATCAAAGCATCTTTGACATCTTTTCCACTCAAGCATAACATTAAATAGTCAAAGATAAAGTATTCATGAACCTACAGCTGTATTTACCTATTTTGTTCATAACTTAAAATGGAAGCTTTTAGCATATAGTACTTCAACACAAAAATGCTTATAAAAGCTGCAACTCAAGAAGTTTTTTACCACGTGCATTTTTAAAATCTTACTATTCGGTGGTAAGCAATAAATTATATTTAAAACACATTTTTTAGAGATTCTCAGCAGGTAGTCTTGATTGATGCTGAAAACTCATTAATTTATTTATCTCTGTTATTATCTTTATAGCCCAGTTTAAATTTGTCTTGTCTGTAACATAAATTTTTAGAACGTATTAGCAAAATGACTGGCCACAAGAAGCGTTTGTCCAGAAATGAATGCCTGTATCTCTGAGTCTTTTTAAATGTGATGGCATATTTGTGAATATTTTTTTCAAGTTAATTCTACTGTGAAAGAGTAAATTCTGTATTGGTCCAGTTTCAAGTTTGCTATGACCGCTGAATTAAAGAAGTGAGGACTCATTTTTTACAGGCTTAGCCTCCATCTGAAGTAATATATTCACAAATTCCGACAAGAAAAAGACCTGTTTATTACTGTCTATTGTGTACATTCAAATTTCAAACACTTACTTTCCGGAATTTCTGAATATTTTACTTTATGTCAATGCTAACCCTGTATGAATGTGTCATTAATGTTTGTATTCAGCCAAAATTTCCAATTCAAAACTGGACTGTTCTTAAACAATGACACTTTTTCATTATTGAAGACTTTTTTGTAAAAAAGCTGGATCACTTGAGGTTTCTGGGAAACTGCCCACCTACCCCTCCCTTAAGTCAACATTAACACTTACTTCTCACTTAGGACAAAATGTGGGGTTAGGGGAGGGGTAGGACGTAAGTTTCCCAGAAACCTAAATAGATCCAAAAAGCTCTACAACTAAGTACCAGATAATATTCTTGAACACATTTTTTAATAATACATGTAATTTTTTGCTGTCCCAAAAATATGATAGGATAAGTTTAATTTTCTGTAACTTCTGCATTAGTTACATATATGAATAAGTGACTTGAGCTCTGAGATAGAACTAATAAAAGAATCTATCAAGTGTTTGAGTCATTTTCCAGCTTTTGATGTTTGAGTAATATTAAGAGATCAGGACCATGAGAGAGAGATTTTTAAGAAAATATTTTTTTTGATAAAAATAATTGTTTTTATTAAATCCTCTCATCAATTATGATAAATAAATCCATCTTTCTACAAGAAATATTCGAGAAAGTTTTTTTCCAGAGGTTTACGATCTTACTTTTAAAAGAAAAATGATTTTTTGGTTTATTTCCTAGTACAAACCAGCTACTTGTCAGGATAAAGCTGACAATGGGGATATTGTCTCCGTTCACTATACTGTAAGTACACTGGGTAATAAGTAATTAATTGTTCTAACCTTAACTGTAAGGTGACCCTGTCCGAGTAGTACTAAAACTGGGTTGAGCTGTGTAGTTCTCTGGGATTTCGTTGAGGTAGACTGTTAGTAATAAACCCTTTTTCCGTCATCTGAGTGGAAGACTTGGCTAGACCAGAGAGGGAATGACCCACACAAGACCAAAGAACCCAATGACCCAACTGGTGCCACCTTATCCCCAGGTTTTCCATCCTCTTTCAGTATCATTTTCATTTGTTTTTCTTAGTGGCTGACATTTTGTGATACCACCACTGGTTTGAATTCCTGACAGTGTGCCATTACCGAGATCTGGGTATAAGTACTTCTGATTGGTTGAGAATTTGCCCCGGGGTACTCCCATACATTACCTATATGGGTATGTGCCGCCCGACGGGGTCGTGATTTTGAAGTTCCTGATTTAGAATGGGGTATCCATTTCAGAGGCGTTTTCTAGAATGGGGTATAATATTTCGAATGCACGAAAGCTCCAGTTTTGTAAGCAGCCATTTGAAATTATTCAAGGTCAGATTGCGTTTAAAAATATGGTTCAATGCGTTAAAAAGCAAACTGTTGTACTCTTTGCACCTTAGAATGGAGTATAAAAAACTGGCCCATTTTTAGAACGGGGTATCAGTTTTAGGGCAAATTCTAGAACGGGGTATCAATTTTAGGGGAATTTTTTTTAGAACGGGGTGCCAATTTGGAGTCCCGGGTGGCGCATACCCACCCAAAAAATACCCAAGTGCCCCCGGGAATTTGCCCAACCAATCAGAAGAAGTCTACCCAAATCTAAGTAGTGATGCGTCATCAGAGTGGAATTTCTGTGCTTGTTCCCCAGTAATCTTTTTTGGTGCAAAACTAGTGTTTGTGTTGCAAAATGTTGGCTGTTTTCTCAGGATAGCTTGTTTCTTTCTGAACAAAAACTGATTTAACTCTAGCTATTTTGGGATGATCCACATTGATTCCTTAATGATGGAGTTCCAAAAACTTCAAAATAGAATAATCATTCCTTTTTAAATTTTTGAGGGAACTTTGGAAAATGGACAAATGTTTGATTCATCTCGTGCACAAGGAAGACAGCCACTTGAATTTCAGCTTGGCAAAGGAAAAGTCATAAAAGGTTAATTCAAATTCTAAGTATATTTTAGAAATGAGAGCTGTTTGTCATGTGATAGATACATGTTTTTCACTTTGTCACCATCTTTATTTTCTTAATCAGGTCTTAGCTAGGTTTGTCTCACAAGTTTTAAGGCGGACTCATTTTCAGTGGTCAGTTGGCGATTACCCATTGGTGTTCTGGCTGTTACCCTGCGAGCAAAGGTTTCTCTCTTGAAGGGTGTTTAGCGTTTACAAAGTCAATCATTCACGTCACTTGTCAGTTGTGTTGTTGAATTGTTTCATATGCCTCAGGAGAAGGTTTCTCCTGAAAATTTCTGGGGGTATAAAACAAACTACTTAATATCTAGCAAAATCGAAGGAGACTCTGTTTGCAGGGTAAAACAAACCCTATGCAGACCCTGCTCATAAAATGGGCCTGCTGTCTTAGAGGGGGATGAAGAAAGATGCTCGTGATCATGTATCATCTAAAGTGCATTTATTGTTTAGCTAAAATTAACAAGGAAAATAATAGTTTTTCGCTGTTTTTCTCTTTTTTAACAGGATGGGAGATGGGAATAAAAGGAATGTGTATAGGGTAAGGTTTTTTCCCTTTAAAAGCTCATGTCACTTTCACTAAAAAGCTCAGTTTTGAGGTTTTGTAGTATTACAACATTTTCTGCATGACTGAATCTCCCTGTTTAATAGTCCAGTTTCAAATTAAAATTACTGCTGAATACAAACATTAACGACATATTCATATAGGGTTAGCCTCGACATAAAGTAAAATATTCAGAAATTTCTTCAAGTATGGGTAAGTGTTTAAAATTTGAAAATGCACAAGAGACAGAGTAATAAACAGGCCTCAGTTGTTCAAACGTTGGATAGCACTATCCACCGGATAAATCACTATCCAGTGGATAAGGATTAGGGAAACCAATTACGCTATCCGCTGGACAGTGATTTATCCGGTGGATAGCGCTATCCAATGTTTGAACAACTGGCACCAGGTCTTCTTCTCATGGGAATTTGTGAATATATTTACTTCAGGTGGAAGCTAAGCTTGCAAAAAATGCGTCTTCATTTCTTTAATGAGCAGTCAAAGCAAAATAGAAACCGGACTTTTTTTCTAATTTTTTCCATTTCTAGTGAGAAAAGGAAGTTGATTATTCCACCTCACCTTGGTTATGGATCACGGGGAGTTGAGAATGTCATTCCACGTAAGTATAAAACAGCAATACCTTTATTCATGATCGTTACTTTATCATACCATACTCCCACATAGTATGACATCATTTTTGTTTGATTTTATCCCTTTAAAGCCCCAAGCAAGTGCATGCAACATTGTTGGCCAACAACTCCCAACATTTTTGGATTTCACAGTGTGCATCTGTTTGCACACCCTGTTGCAGGTTGTTGTGTGTTGTTGAACAAAGTTTGAAACAGGTCAACAACTCCTCAACATTCTTATTTGTTCTGTGATCGCTGAAGCATAGTGCAACAATGTTGGATCCGTTTGCACAGCCTTTCCGACATTGTTGGGGACACGCACGTGCATTACACATGGTCTCCAAAGTCTTGTGGGCTATATCCTTCCCATGATGCACTGCAGGTCCCAACATTGTTGGGAGTTGTTGCATCCATTTGCACTATGTTGGGAGCTGTTGCATCTGTTTGCACTTAGCTGAACTGAACACACATCACTGAGCACTCTAAAACCTCTAAGTGAGTCCTAAAGCTGCAATTTTTAACCCTTAGGCAAGACCACAAGGATCCCTTCACTTTCATGTCGGAGACCCACCTCAACCCCCCCCCCCCCCTAACCCAAGACTTTTAAACCCCAGATTTCTCCAGATGGAAGGAAGTAAAGAGAAGCAAAGCTCTGGCCCTGGTTGTTCAAATATGCCGGAAAGCCCTATCCAATGAATAAACCATTAAAAGATACATATTATGGAGACAAGTGCGCCATTTGCACAATGACGTCATTTTACTACTACTTCCAGAATCCATCAGGGTTTTGTTTTCTTGTGCAAAAGAGGGCCTTTGTTCAGTTTGCTATTGAAACCTCAATGGGAATATCACATTTAAACCGGAAGATTGTTATCCACTTTTGAACAACTTAAGGTCCTGGGCAATATTTTATTAGTAAACTACAGGACACATAAGAAAAACCACTCCATTTTTGAGCCAGAAGGAAAAAGCTCTTAATCGACTTGTAACTTTTTTTTGCTTTCACAGCAAATTCAGTGCTAATATTCGCCACAGAATTGATGTCAATTAGAAGAAAATCTCCATTTGATCCTAGTGTACTGATCCAGATAGGTTTCTGGCCAGTGCTTGCAGTCTTGGTTATGTATTATCTTTATAGAAAGGCAAAAAGCGAATCCAGCTCTTCCAAGCATGAAGTAAAGTCGAACAAAAAGAATAAAAAGAAATAAACAGCTGCACATTGCTATTTATAAGGTACATAGAGATCGTTCGAACTGAGAAAAAGCGCAACCTGAACAGCGACAATGATTTCTGTATCTCCTAGTACATTCGCTGTGGTTAACGGTCACGTCGCCCGAAAGTCATCTCGCCCGAGGTTATGTCGCGTTAAATAAGAGTTATGTCAGTTATGTCGCCCGAAATGTTGTATTTGAGTCGCTAGAAATGCTAAGTTGTGTCACCCGAAATTTTATCATGTTTAACAACATCCTAACATCGTTTTCGCGTTTGTTTCGTTTCATCAAATCTGAAAGAACGAGGTATATTACTCAGTTGTATCTCTTGTTTCGTCTCAGTATCGCTTAAAACTTCCCGCGACAAAACTCAGCCTTTCGGACCACTTACTAAAAATTTCCGGCGGCATAACTTCGCTTCAGTTTCGGGCGACTTGTCACCGACCTCGGTATAGCCTTCAACTGACTCATTTCGGAGGAAGAAAGTAAACAGTTTTGAACTGTCTAAATATAGTACTAAAGATTTAAACCTTCATTCATGAAAAAGAAAATTATTTCTAGACAATGCGATGACTTTAATATGGAATCATCGTACAAAGCGTTCTATTTGGCTGTCAAAACATTATTCTGGGTAGGTTTAAATTAGACTAGTAGTAAATCTCGCATAAAAAATAATAACACAAAATTACTCAACAAAGATACCTGCGTGCATGGACAGGAAATACACTCGAAGAACTGCAGTATCAAAACGTTTGCACAGCGACACAGACCAGCTGACAGACTCTTACGAAGGATCACTGGCCTCAGGGAGTTCCAACCTTTATATCCCGCCAGGACAACATTGACACGCGACAGAAGCTGCCCCTGCGAACATTTTTGGGGCCGCCAGAAAAGTGTTAAGACAGGGTTAGGTCGCGTTCTCCTGCGGTCCAACGCAGTGCTGTGAAACCCCGATAACGTGGCCATTTACCAGAACCATTGCGCGTAGTAGTATAAATAAATAAGCAAAACTGTCCAAATAGCCCAGACACCTTATTAGCTTGTATGTTTTTGTATTCTCAAAACAGGTCACGTGATTTGCTCTTTGGTGGGATTCACTTGCAAAGAAACCGGTCGTTTCGATACGAACTCAAGCAGCGAAACTGCACAAAAATTTTGTTCACTTCAAGTTTACTGTAGTTCGCGTGAACAAGGGAACATTTTGGGTGAATTTTCTTCGTTCTTTAAGCCAAGGACGTGAAACTACTGAATAAACTTGTATCGAAACGACCGGCAACCATTTGCAACGTGCACGTATAGCTGTCGCATTTGCGTGTTGGAATTTTTTTTCCTGTTTTTAAGCTAAAAAACAATGAAAGTTAATGCAGGGGCGGATCTAGGGGGAGGGTGCAGGGGGTGCGCACCCCCCCTCCCTGAGATGACCTACGGTTTACTAATACAACTGGTATTCTGCAAAAAAAAAAAACAAACTATGTGGTTTATGGTGTTGAAGTAGAGCAAGAGACGAGTGCACCCCCTCCTAAAAAAAATCCTGGATCCGCCCCTGTAATGCAACGGCCACACTAGCATGTTGCAAATGAATCCACCCTGTGTCTTTTCGAAAATGATGTGCTATGTTAAATATGTATGCTATAAAATATGCACGTGAAAAAGATGACATGTGAACAAAAAGCAGATTTCTAGAGTAATATCACATGACCAGGGGGCGATTTAGGCTCCGTCTAAATGGAAAAAAGAATTTTCCCGGGAAGAAGGATCACCCTCTGAGCCGAGTCAACTTCAGTGACTGAGTCTTTATATGAGAGTCTTTATCGGCTCGTTTTCTATTTTAAGAAATTCTCAACTTGAATCTGATGCCGTTTGCCGTTTGCCGTATACGTGAAGCTTGAATTCTCTATTGTTTCGTTTTGATCAAGCTGGCCCCGCCAGGATTGTGACCCGTCTAGCCGGCCCAACTTTTTTTTGTCATTACTGCGCTTTTCATAGACTGTTCACAGTCCCCTATTTTTTCGTGAGATCGTTGAGATATAGCACGTCTTACCGTTAATGACGGCCATCTTGATTTTTTTGGGGATTATCATCTAGCCCCTAAGTAGTTTTGACACTCAAACATGCAGCCCGAAACGCAAATCGATCTCGACGAAGTTCGCTTTTCACAAAAAATTCTGAAGTTCGAAAGCCAACTGACGATTGCGTTTTTCGCTGCCGTCAATCATCTTAACGCACCTCTTAGGAAACAAAACTTTACTTTAACGGGTTCAAAAGGTCATGGTTTGTGATCTGTGATTGGTGGATTTCGATCCGTTTTGTGTGTTTCTGTGTTTCAAGGTTCGTTGCTTATGATCGTAATAATGATTGACGGCAGCGAAAAACGCAATTGTGAAGGCGTCTTTTGAACTTTCGAGTTCGCATATTTGTGAAAAGCGCAGTAAAACGGTTCGCCACCGGTTATAAGCAAATGTATGAAAAGTTGGCTCGGGTAGGTGGGTGATCTTTCCACCTGGGACAACAACTCCCCGTAAATACAGGGCCTTAGGCCTAAAACTGGATTTGCGAATAGCCATCGCATTATCCTGATGATTTTTGTACTGTTTTCAAGCCTAAAAACAAATTAATTCCAATAGGCTAATGTGATGCCTATACGCGTATGCTGATAATAAATCCACCCTTCATTAAACTTTTAGTAGTGTAATATACAAGTGAAGCCATACAAAAAAGGATAACGTTACATATTGACCTTCGCTCACTATTCGTTTCCGTGATTTGCTAAACTTGCAGCAGGAGAGAACCTAAGCACTAGAGTGTTTTTAACGTTCCAATCTAGTGATCCAACGGTACATGAATTGTTGAACAAGGTTACAAAAACAGCTTTTTTTAGATTTCTTTCTCAAAAACAAATTTATTTACATTATTTCGTTATTACGTTTTAAAGCCTCTGTATGCACAATTTACCACATACTTGTGTTCTTTAGTGTTTTGTAGTACGTACATTGTGTATGTAACGAAGTACATTCATTAAAAATATCGCATTATAATTCCTAAACGCTTGCAACAATTTTCATGGTATGCATATTGTGAAAGATTTGGCCACTTTCGTTCCCAGGCCCTCTCTTGTTCCAGAGGAAGAAAAGAAAAGACCCTGGGGACATGAGGAGTCCATATTAGTGACGGTGTCCATTTACAAGGTGACCATTTTAGTGAAGTGGTCTTCGTGTCGGTAATGAGATATCCAACTTTAGTGAAGGTGCCCATTTTATACAGAGGTGTCCATTTATCTATGTTAAGGTAAAAATAATTGTGTAAACGTATCCATCTCTTTTCAAAGATGTGCATCGTATAAAAGAAATGTCTGTCACCATCTTACTGTAGACAGTAATGAGATGTCCCACTAAGTAAAGGTGTCCATTCTGTATGGAGGTGTCCATTTTATGAAGGTGCCCATTTTCTTAAGAGGTGTTCATCTGTGGTATAGAGGTGTCCATTTTAACTAAGTTAAGACGTACATTATGGGTAGAATGTGTCCATCTATTTCAAAAGGTGTGCATTGTATTGAAGAGATCTCCGTAACTATTTCACTGAGCAGGTGTCCATGTTAGCAGAAAGCCGTCCACATCCATCAGTTAGGAGGTGTCCACTAAAGAGGGGGAAATCCTTTCTCATGAGAGGAGATTCGATTTCCACTGCTCTGCTTGAACCAGTTGTCCTTTAATAAAGATCCAGTGATTTCTGGACCAAACGCGGGAAGCAGCTGGTAACCAAGCTCATTCTAACAGGGTTTCTCGCAAAAAGATGGAAGGTCAATGCATGCGTCTGAAAAAGCAATACGCAGTTCTGCTGAAAGATTTTCTAACTTTCGTATCGATCTAAACGGTACAAGTGAAGCCTTTATATAAGTCATTGCTTCTGCAATAACAATGTATGTCTGTGATGAGGAAAGCCTCTAAAGTTTGTTCAGTCATCGTAAAAAATTGTTCTTGCGTTGGCAGATGACGAGCGTCTGGGTGAGCTGAGTGGCTTTCTTGGATGTTTCACTTTCACTTTTCTCTTTGTTAACATCACGGCCTGCAAGAAAATACATCAGTCAGTAACACCTTTTTAATTTGTGACCAGCATTCAGGGGCGGATCTAGGGGGAGGGTGAAGGGGGTGCGCACCCCCCTGAGATGACCTGCGGTTTTCTAATACAACTGGTATTCTGCAAAAAAAAAACTACGTGGTTTATTGGTGTTGAAGTAGAGCAAGAGACGAGTGCACCCCCTTCTAAAAAAAATCCTGGATCCGCCCCTGGCATTGAATTTCTCTACTCAACTGCCAAATAAAACATAGTGGTAAAGAGAAAAAAGCGGTGATCACCAACGGTAAAACGCTCTGACGTTTTAATTCTTTCTCCTTAGTAGTATCAAAAATTAGTGCGGAGAATATGTATATTGGTATCAGGGATTTAAAGAGTTAAGTCAGAGTATCACAAGCGATTCTTCTAGGCTCGATTACCAGCCGCTGTTCGGGAAATGAGCCCGCGCTCCTTCCCCCGAGAAAGAGACGGAAATCAAGCCTACGATTCTTCTGAATGCAAGATAAGAGGTAAATAAGAATCCGATCAAGTGAAGTCTGGCAAAAAAATAAAATTAACACGAGATGATGCTTGAATGGAACATAAAACGAAAAGCGGTCCTTTTTTTTTTTTTTTTTTTTTTTTTTTAATAACATTTATTCAATCAACAATCAAATGCTTGAATGGAACATACAATGCAATATTTAACGACTTAACAGCGGTCCTTGGGGTTAGTCCCGGAGTGGGGGGGTGGGGGGGTGGGGGGGCATATAGATATGTGCCACCTAAGGGGCAGGGGTCACGTTTTGGGGACCGCTGACCTGAAGCAGTTTTCTGGACGAAGACGTAGAACATTCACAATATCACCAGTGATTTACAGTTATTCGAATAGAAAACGTTTCTTTCGTTCAACGTGGCAATCTCATAAAGTTTTGAGCACGTGATTTAACGCATGCGAGGTTGGCTCAGCGATTTTTCAAAGCAGTCAATCATTTTGAATACAAACTCCTTTTACGGGACTAGTCAGTGAAACACCTCCCCTCTCTGGTTAGGTATTTTTACCTGTGTGAGTATGGGTCTGACGATAACATGACCAGCACCCTGCATCCACGGTTCACCATCAATCTGTACGGGCATCTCAGATTTCAATTTGACGTTAATCTACAGTGACAACAATGTGCATGTAAAGTCAACAATAGTTACACTCTGGCTAACATGACCGTATATGTGTACTTATAATCTCCAATTATGAACACCAAACTAACATAACAGAAATATAACGTTAGAAATTGCTTATTTCATTACCTGGGCTCCCTGTGCCAGTCGTATCCCTGTTCTTATTCCACTTTGAATCTGACCCTATATAAAAGAGATTTGTTGCATAAGCGAGTTTTGAGCTGTTGCCCATTAAACGTTATCCAGACCTTACTCAGACGCCTTTTATGAGAAGGCACTTTACTAAAGCAGCCAGTTCTGGTAAAAATGACAAGGAGATGGTAGAGAAAGAACCATATTAGCAGTTTCCCTTAAACCTGAAAATTACAGCCCTCGCTAAATAAAGCCCTTGCAAGACATTCAGATAGCAGTGTGCATAGTGTAGTGCGACTATCTGCAATTAGTAAATCCAACTAGTGGTCTATTATCAATGCTGTGTTCTGACTGGTTGAGCTACTACTAGGCTATATGTTACAGCCCACTAGTAGCGAAAAGCGCCGGCTTTTTGGCGGCAAAAAAGGGTTAAAGTCTAGCTTTAAGTAGCTAAAAATTTTAAATTTTTGATATTTTTGACCAACTAGTTGGATTTTACTAAAACAATTATTCCTCTCGCCCTCATGGCCTCTGAGTCAATAGCCCATTCGGGCTCGAGGAATAATTGTTAAATATTCTCGCCATAAGGAATAGACCCTTTTACGGTTTTTTCAAGTTTTGATAAAGACCAGTTAGCGAATATTCATTGACACTGCTAGAAACAGCTCTTTAAAATGCGGAAACTTAAAGGTGATAGTTCCAAAGCGAGCGAAGATATTGCTCCAAAATGCCGCCAAATTTTACGAACCTTTGTATTTTTTTTTGGGGGGGCAAGAAGTTGAAAAGAGCGTAAAAGAAAAAACGAGCGAAGAGTGGGGAGAAAACAACTTTTTCGCGCTCGCCTTTTGTCTGGCTTGTCCCTTCTAACTGAGAGCCTAGGACGAGCCGGCTAGACCAAAACTTTTTGTTATGACGGTTACCAAAACCGGGAACGACGAAGAAAATAACCTACATGCTTTTAAGTATAAGAGGAACAAACAGAATCTACAGGAAAGGTTTGAAGCCGTTCAATAAACGCGCACTCTTATCCTGCCTGTTTGCTTAATCGCTACCCTGACTCGTTTTATTTCCAGCCCACTCTCTTCTTTTCTTAATCAAATGTTGATCAGATTTAACCAGTAAGTGAGGGAGAAAATAATATAAAACAAGTTTTTTTACCAAATGCATGACTCCTTGAAGACCAACGACCTCAACAATACCATCGCAGTGACATGCTGGTGCATAGCCCTGTCAGAAAATATTAACCGCACAAATAGATCAGGACGAAAAATGAACTGTTTTCAAAGGGAAATCTGGAAAGTTATTTTGACGATGTTTTGTACGAAAAACGGACGATGGGCAAGTGTTATTTTAGCGAACCGGTTTTTCTTTTGCTGGAACAAAAATCTAATCGCCTTTATGTCTACTATTTTATGAACCCCTTTCATTTCACTGGGTCGACTTGAAAGACAAATGGGGATCATTTGAACAGAAGGCCCGTATGGTTCTTGGGGATCATATCATCTGGGTTTGGGGATCATTTTAGGGGTCGGGATCGAAATTTTGGGGCTGATCCCCAATTAATCCCTGAATGGAAGTTCTTCACATACAAGTCTGTTGGGACGTTCTTGAATCGCATTTAATAGCGCAGATTCGCCATCTAATCCGTTACAGAAATCGCGCGATTTGATATTATCATTTTTTTATAAGGGATCTGCGCTCCGTTACAGAAATCGCGCTGATATTAGCTTTCTAATGTGTGAATAGAAGCCCCATTAGTTATGGTTCTTGTGCCGGCGCGAAAGCTTTCCGGTATAGCGTGAACATAAAGCCTGATAGTAGATCAAGACGACGTACTCCTTGGAAGCACGTTAAAAAAAAGAAGGAAGCTTGAAAAGTATAAATAGAAAGGTATGTCATTTCAGGTTTTCCTAGAGAACTGGGGACGAGGGATACATAAGTTAAGGTAAATTACTCACATCATCTCTATCAGGTCCCCACGCATCGGTACCTGCACCCCAACTGTATCAAATAAATGAATATACCGTAAATCCTCTATTAAGCTTCCCCTCTAAAACGAACCCTTCCTTTTCAGGGAAGGAAAGTTAATATGCCCCCGCCCTAAACCTCGTCCTCAGGTTTTCCCTGGCTTCAAAGCCAGGGAAAAGCGCCCTGGGGACGAGGTTGCCCCCGCCCTCTCCGGATTCCGAAATGCGGAAAATTTTTACCTCTGGAATCCGGAATCTTTGACTTTTGAATCCGGAATAGAGTTCAAGGAATCCGGAATCCCACAAACGATTGGAATTCGGAATGTAAGTTCTAATGGAAAATACTGGAAACCAGTACCTGTAATCCCAAATCCAAGAAAGTCTTGGATACCCTTACATGAAGCAATCTGGAAAGTACTGCTCAGTAGCTTTCATTTGAACGCCCACAATTACAGATTTCATCCACAAACGCAAACGTTCATAGCCACGTTGCAGCGTAACGACCAGTACCACAGGAAAATTTCAATGAATGTCAAGAAAATAATCTTAATTTAGTATTTCGCCCTCAATTTCTAGAGCTGAATGATATGACATTCAACGTTTCCAATAAAAAACGTTGAACACAACAACAAACAAACGCAGTTACTAAAAACCACAATTAAGAGAATGTTCCACTTTCACTAAATTACAGCCGTACATACCTGCCAATGTTAAGAATTACTATGCCCTCTAGTGCTGGTAAATCAAGCTTTTTACCGTCAACCTAAAAGGAGGATGTAATCACTTCCGTTCAGAATAACGTCATTGATTAAAATTTTGCTCATTATCAAACAAGTTAACCCATAAAAGATGTCACCGTATGTACAAATCAAACTCAAAAGTTGACAGAGCTAATTAATTTGAACAGTTGGTGCAATTTTTAGCTCTTTGCTATCAATAACAAGAAAATATAGCCAATAAAAACTGTAAATTGCTGGGTGGCAAAAACGTTAATGAGCTTATATATTCTTTGTAACGTTTGCGTTTTTCAAAGAGAATTTCTACCAAACTATTCGGTAAATCGGCCTGAAATTTTCAGAGATAACTGAAATTGTTAAAGTTATGCTCTTTGAACATTCAGAGATGTTATTTTATTATTACCTTCATCAGACAATGATAAACATATGTTAATGAAGCAAAAAATGTAAGCAAGGATTCACGTATAGCTGACACGCATGCAGGCTACTTGTAGGTGGGAGTGGTGGGTTGGGGCGGGGTATCTTCAGTGATAAAATAGAGGAGGGTGCTGAAAAAGTAAAGGATGTGCCCTGAAAATCTGGCAGTTGTAATTTGCCAGAAAGAAACAATAAATTGAGATTATGAACCACAACTCTGATAATTTAACACATGCACACTCCTAAACTGCCAGCATTATGCTCAAATGGTAATAGAAGAGAGCTTTGGGTAGTTTAGCTTCTTCGTTTTTTTGACCAGATAATGACCAGAAAATGACTTGACTAGCTTAACGAGTCACAGGACTTAATGATAAGCACAGCTATGTTGCATTTTCACGTTATTTTCACTTTCACTAATTCTGCCGTGAATAAGTGGTATAAAAATATTGGATTTAAGATATTAAAACTGCTACAATAAGCGTTATTAATACGCAAAAATTCACCTCGATTTCAACTTCATTTACAAATGTCCTTGAATAACCTTTCACCATTTTCTTCAGTCCTGCTCTGAAGTAAACACCTTTGTTATGGAGCCTGAGTTGAAAGCAAACGAAAGAATATCAAATTTAAGCATTAACTAAAACTAAATGGTTTGTGGTTAATGCCCTCTTAAATAACAGTGACCATAGCACGATTATCTTTTTTTTTATCACGTATACTCAAAATCGAAAGAATGGATCAAATTTTGCGGCAATTAGGAATGTTCTAAAACGTTTACGCAATAAAATGCATTTACACTCCACTTTTGTTTTTTTTGTGTTAAAAGGACCAATTAATGAAACCAATAGCCAAGAAAAGTTTACAATTTTAAATAACAGTGACTTTGTTATTCAAACTGAGACCAGATTTTGTTTATGGAAGATGGTTTTTTATCACGTAAAGTTTTGTTAACTTTTGCAAATATACAGACAATAGAAAAGTTAGCACCTTTTTTGCATTCCAACATGTTCGTTGCCGTTCTTGCTATCGTTCTTATCTGGAGCGTTTCTTAAAATATCTGTAGCCTAATACAGACGTATAAATATCAAACCCCACGCTTAAATCACGCTTCATACATCCAAAGTAGGTGCTTTTCAGTTCATTCGTGTCAAACTTAACTATAAAGAAAATAACCCTGGGGAAAGATAACCACGGAACCACCTGGCAGCCGCCCAATTCGCCGCCTACGAATTGCTTATACCACGCCAGATGAAATCTTTGTGAACATGCAGCCCTGCACCTGGGAATAACAAACATGGACTTCATATGGTGTTCGTTTAACTACGTTTTACTCCCTTCCCTCCCCCCCCCCATCCCACTCCAATATATATTTGCCATTTTGAGGTTGCAGGTGACATTAAGTCGGTGTTGCGTTAAGTTGCACTGTAGAATTGTCTTGTGAACACTATTGCTTCTTTCATTGGCTAATACGACGTTGCAAAGGATCCTGGATCAAAATTTCCTCCCCAAAAACAGTCCCATAGTGCAGTTCGACACAACCCCGACCCAGTCCCCAGGCTAACCGTTAAAATGGCCAAAACGATCATAATCAACTTACCTACTATGGAATTTATCTGGTGCTTCTTCTCTCTGAAGGTGAAAATCCAAACAAAGTTCCGCACCAATTCCAATGCCAAAATAATTGTTCATGGTAAAAATACTAGGATCGTCATCTTTACAACCAATAGAGCCTATAGCACTGTCATTTGATAGCGTATCAGGAATAGCCTCGGCTAAATCAAACATCACACACCATCTATCCAAACGATTTTCCTGTGCTTGGTCCACAGCCATAAGAAGTGACACTGGACTCTCGCTGCCAGAATACCCTCCACCCCAATGAAGAACTCGAGAGAGATCGTTGCCTGTTTTATAATTTAACAGGTAGATCATATTTTAGCTAATATTTAGTTAACCCTTTAAGCCCCAGCATCAACATGCATCTTCTCCCCACTTTTATTCATACATTCCTTATGGTACTGCTTGAGAGAATTGCCTGTTTTAGATCCAACATGTACATTATGTTCACACAACAATCACAGCGCAGTTCTAGGCTACGTGATAAAATTTCGTGATCTCAAAGAGATCACAGCTGTTTAGAAGATTTTATTTAGCTTCACTCACTGGGAAATCTGATGTTACCTAAAGGCAAACTTTATGACAAAGAAATGTCTCCTGGGCGTTATGGCTCAAAGTTACATATAACAGAGAAAAACTTTGATAATTTGAGAGTCTGAAAAGTTTTATAAAACCCAAGGAATAATCCGTTTTGATCTAGTTCAATTTTGTTTAACCATACCTTCCTTAGTACCTGCCGTGTTGCTCAAATGTATCAAGCAGTCATTTTTTACATATTTCATTCAGTTTGGAGGCCAGTTTTAATCTAATGTCTGGATATATTTTACAACGCCACCCTCCGTGATTGGCTTAAAATTTTCACGCTACTTTCTCAACCAATCAGATTTAAAATCAAAACCAGTCGTGACTTTTCCCGCGCTTAATTGTGGCTGCATTCAACACCTGTGCAAGAGACTTGCAGTACTAGATATGACGTGTATTAGTGAAGGGAGAAACGGTCTAAACGGAAATTGCTGTTAGGCTGTAAACTGTAATAGCCAAACTGAACATTTAATCTGATCTATCATTTACAATTCTCACTTAGGTTATTACAGTGTGCAGCTACAAATTTTTGACCAGTGATTTGCTTTTCGTCATAATGTGCTTTGCGCCTGGGGTGTTGTTTTCTGAAATCGATGCCTTATGACGATAATGGCTCCAAAATATAAGCCAACTTTGTTGCGGCCCACGGAATATATAGGGACCTTACGAAACTACGACAGCGACGGCAACCGCAACGTCAAAAAGCAATAGGTTTAGTAAGCAAAACAACAACTCTGCACGTGCATCACGCTTTTTTGTACATTTCTTTGCCGTCTCTGCACAACTACGACGTGAAATGACCAAATTTTAAGTTTTTTTGAGGACGAGAACGGAAAGGCGATAAAGTCTACCATCTCTGTCTGAACTCGGGCGCGGCCGCTCTTTTCTGTTCCAATCTAAATCCCCTTCTTTTAAGTAACAGGACGACTTCGGAAAATCCCGATGACCTTTTCAGGGACGTCGCCGTTGTCGGATCGTAAGGTCCTTACTACGTCCTGAGAACGCGACCTCGGACTCACCTGTTCCAAGTGGAATAATCGCTGAGGCTGGCATCTTACACTTCAGCTCTTGAAGAACATCATCTAAACACGATAAAACCCATCCAACCGTTCCATCGCCACCGCATATTAAAACACGGAAATCTGGAATGGACCTAAAAGCATAGAACCTACAGGGAAAAAGACACAAAAGAGTTTTAGCAATTAATTAGAGAGAGAACGAACGACTGTCATTTTGCCCTTGAAGTATTTTCCCTTAATTCAGGCTAGCCTGATTTTTTGAGCGGGCGAACGCTCAGATCTTGCCGCCTCTAGTCGCTATCTTTGCTCTTGAATGCAGAGGGGGAGTGGGGAGAGTAGAAAATGCGACAGAGCCCACCCTGCAAGGGATGTCAGACACAGGTAAAGTGATAAACTCTCTGGGTTTGTAGGGAAGAGAGACTGGTAAGAGCCTAATAGAGTGTGTCTTTGCTAGTCCTGATGAAACTTCTGCATTGGCTGAACGTTGTTTGTTTGGGTTACTTGCGTGCATTGGGACTGCTTTGGTACAAATCATGGCGATCAACTCATGTCTATTAAAGTAAAAAACTCTAGCTGTCTCTGTGATGCAGCACGCGCGAGGGTGCTGAGGAAAGGCTAAGGAGATTTCCATCCTTTCCATTACCCCCAGCGTCCTATTCATCAGAGATGAATGACAAAACGTTGCACCACTTACCCCGGTAATGGTCCTCCTTCTGATAGACTGTAGACTTGATGCGGGTTAAGTAACCGTTGAAAAGCTGCTAGCATATCGGCCCCCTGTCCACCACCACTTTTTGTATTGACTAGTACTAACAGGGGCTGGCTATCAGGGGGGAACATTTCAGGCTGCAAGAAGAGAGAGAAAATTTATATTCACTTGGGAGTAACTTTGTTCACTCATACTCAACAATCAGCTGAACAATAGGAGCATTTCCCACCGAAATCCAAACTTTTTGACGAGGCATTCCCATGCTTAGTCCGAAAACTGTCCACTACGTTGGACGAGAAAAAAAATTCTGCAAGATGTGAGCTGTATTCTACCCAAGATGATAAACTTGGAGTAATCAGTGCGTTCGACATTACGCTGTTCCTATAAATACATTAGAAACTCTCGAGAAAGAAAGTAAAGTCGTCTCCGACAAGGGAAAGGCGAGAGATGAGGAAGGGTGCAGGGTGGCAAATCACTGTTCACTGAATCTTAATGTTTCCTGGATCTGACGCACAGCAAACCAGGTAAGAGTAAGCAGATGAAGACTGCGTTCTCCTGAATCGAACTTCATTTTTAAATGATTCATTAAAAGCACGTAGAATTGACCTCAGAATGTACAAAATACTACTAAACATTAATAAACAAAGCAGCACTGGAATTGCTACTTACATGAATGTTTGGCAGGACTTTTATAAACAGTTCCTTACTATCCACCGTAGAGTTTGTTAATTTATGTACAGCATCTGCTGCTACATCAGCCGCGGGAAAAGATACAAATAACATGCCTATAAAGTAAAGAAAAACTTCATTGCGTTAACTTGTGGACAGCTTCAGAATTAGTTCGTATGTCCTGAATGTAGCGGGCTGTCCGTTTAGTATTATAGATCTGCTTAACGCAGTTTTCAATGCATTTCAATTTCAATATGTTTTCTTTGCATCATGATAGAAAATGGCAGTAGGACTCACCATAACTTGCAAACACACTTTTCATCTTACAATACTGTGCCGCTGCAAAAAATATAAAGATGATAACTTATAACACTCAGAGTGAAAGGATAACGGATCAAGAAGGAAATTTAAAGATGAAAAGACAAGAATTTGGCTATCTGAGTATCCCTACGCTTACTTTAAATAGCGGATACTTACTTTCGCCCAATATATCACTTAAAAGGTCTTGATATTTGGTGGACTCTAATCCTGTAGGAAGACCTCCAACGCAAATACAAACATTTCCCAGGGGTTCCAGGTTTTGGCGTAAATAAAATCTCGTGAGTTTCATTTTTCTTATCGATTTCTGTGCAGTGAGAAGAGATAAAGACCATATTACTATTTAATGAACATTTCAAGCAAACGAGTAAGGCGCCGGTTAAACCAGATGGCAAAATTCAGCAGGCCAAAAAAATACAGTGGAATCCCAATTTTTTTAGCCACTCTTACTAGGAGAAGCTGAGGTTTGAAAAATCGGGGGTATAATGACAGTGTTTGACTGGTAAAGGGAAGTTATTTTTGGCTAGAATTATCCGGAATTTTGAAAAACCGAGGGCTCGAGAAATAGGGATAGAGTGCGCTTGAATTTCTAAGCTTTTGCGTGACGCGGCATTTACGTGGCGGCCAAGAGAGCTGTCCTGAGGGTTACAAAAATGACTTATTTTGGGGGATTTTGCTATCGGAACAGTTGTATTAAAAAAGTATTACTTTTATGTTTATGAGTTCCACGATAGATGAATTCACGCTTTAGTAGGAAAACTCAATAACAACTGTTTCTGTTGTTTTCCGGCCGCCATGTTAGTGCCCATTCGGATGGGCGTCCAACATGATGTCTCCAAACAAAGCTCTATAAATTTGGGCAAATGAATTATCCGAATATCTTGCTTCTGGAAAATTGCACTACCCTGAATCTTGGCGAGGGACTTTGCATATTCCCCCTCTTTTCATTTCCCAGATTTTGGACTTAAACTGTCGAACGGTGTTGATTCTTATATTTGATGGCGTTCAGTGAAAACCAGCAATAAGGGTACTTCACTCACAGACAAAAACATACTAAGCTATCTTTAACTGCTAAACCGCCGAGACTAAGGTCCACGGCAGGAAGATAGAAATAAACATACCTTTCTAATATCCACCAGAGTTTTCCACGGACAGTCATTGTGGTCCATTCTTCGTTCTTGAACTTAAAAAGATAAAGAAAGAGACGACGTCATCCTCCCCAGTGTTAGGGGCCTTAAGATCCGAGGCTGGCGAGAGCAGCAAAAACGTCTCTTACCAAGTAACTTTGCGTTCTTTCAATCTTCATCACGATTACTCTAACTTATTCAGTGTCAAACGTGGATGCAAAACCTGTACGTTTAATTTCTTTACTTCTTACAATGTTAGTGTCTTAGCGTGTTATTTTATATTGAGTGGATGAATTTTACATGACGAGGCCATACCATCAATTTCTTAAAACAATAAAATACTCAAGGTCAAAACAATACTTCATGTAAAGAACAGAAAGAGAATGTAATCCCTAGCTGTTTTTGTTTTCGGTATGTCTTCTCTGACAGAACACTGACCTATGAAAACTATTTGGCGTTTTTCATTTATTTTCATTTATTTTATTTCTTTATTTTTAACCGTTGAAAAGTCAGAACTTTAAGCCTACCAACGCTCCCATCTATCGTGGGTTTAGCTTGATTATTTATGAAAGGTTTCACAACTGCAAGAGCAAGAAAACGAATTTGTTATCAAACTTAGTGTTTAAAGACGAAAACGTTTATTAAAACGATTAAGACCGTCTTCCTTACAGGAGTTAACTAGAATAAATTATACATTAAATATTAATAAAATGTTGTTTGAGCATAACAAAACAAGTTAAAGCCAGAACGAGAAACAATATTCATGACATACCCAGGCGCCTTGTACGTGTTGTTTTTGTTTGTTTTTCCGTTAAAAAATAAAGCAAAACGTCACGCATAATAAGTATGTGGCAGTTGTATGGTAGCCCGGAAACAGGGGAGTTGCGAGGATTCGCGCGAGAGCTGCACGCGAAAAGAGACGCGACTGCGTCCCCCAACCATCGCGGCTCCGCCGCTCGCTCGCGCGTTCTCTCGCGCCTCACTTCACTCGCTATAACAAACTCGATCCCAGGTTCTCTCGCCTACTCGTCGAGAAGTGACGGATAGGAGAGAACCCTGGGAACGAGGTTGTCGCCATAAATGGAGAGCTTGTTCGCAGGATAGTTGTATCACGGCAGGATAGAAAGCTGGTAATTTTACACTAGAGGGAGAAAAAGACGAGCTCCTATTACCTCCATAATTCAAGTGAACTTCTGTCAGAGAAAAATCGTCCGGATTTGCGTCCTAATGAAAAATAAGAACAGTCGTTTAGTCACACCAGAAACTCATAAGAGGTTGAGAAGTGTAACTCGTAAGCAGCGCGAATTCACTTTTAAGTGACGAGTAAAATAACGTCACGTCGTTTGCGAAGTTTGATTGGTCAGTTATCTTTCTTCTCGTTCCAAATATGGCACTTGCAAAAAAATAATAACATTCACGCGCATCGTACAAAGCGAACATATGAGAGTTACACGCTTCAACCCCTTGTGAGTTTCTTGTCACACATGTCCAATACGCACGAACTGAGTACGGTTGTGTCTTACATTGAAGTCGACCCGTCTTACGGAAATCTGGTCGAGATACGTTAAAAGGTTGTGGACTCGATTACCGGAAGTCTGGTCGTAATAGCACAACCCTCCATTTAAAGGAACCCAAAATAATTGGGTACACTGCATGTTATATTGATAACCTGTTCCACTCATTCTACTACAACTATAAGGTGAAGAATGTCTCTTGTTATACCAGGGTGCTCGTTGTAGGGATTGTTACGGGTGCCTCATCCTAAGAGTGTGCGACACCAAAAACAAAACAACCTCCGCAATCTGGGAACAGCAGTCCAAAGCCAACAATGAGATTGACTGGGAGAGGCTCAAGATCCTTGACCAGGAGACGGTGGACATCATAACAAAATCCAAGGAGGCCATACATATCAGACACCAGTATCCAATCCTAAATAGAGCGGGGGGTTATGACCTTCCCGGGATTTTCAATCATCTGTTGTCACGTGACTAATTCATGTGTTGTGACAAGACAGAGCGTTCTTTGCTAAACTTCATACCTTAAGTCCGAATTTCTCCAAAGCAATTTGAATAACATCAGTTACTCTTGTGATAGCAGTGACAGGGATCGTCTTAAACAAGGCAGATACACTGTAACAAAAAAAAAAAACATAACACCGCGGTAAAAATGACGGAAGGAATTGTTGAGTTTGTGCTTTGTAAAGGCAAACTGACCCTGCCTCTGACCTTACCTAGTCCCTACACTGAGGACGTCTAACCACGACTTCTCGGTCAATGCATTTCGGCGACGTATCCACACGACCCGAAATACATAGGCCGCGCGCAATAATGAAGCCTAGGAACAAGGCAACCTCTGAGCCAGACACCTCTCACTATGCCCAAAGGACAGCGGGAAAAATGACTGGCGCTTCGCTTGTTTCCAGTCATCCGCCACCTCTTGTGCGCGCGCGCGCGAGTTTCGAAGCGCTTACCGAAGAGATTGTGCTAGTCAACAAATCGTCCACAATTTTCTTGTTTTGTTGTTGTTGTTGTTGTTTTTTTTACACTATTATACATCATAGACGTGACAAGAAAAAAAAAATCCGCTTAAGTGGCACCACATAAAAATCTCCGGAAATTGCTCGGTTGCAAGTTTGATACGTTACAAAACGTCCTGTCATGACATTTTAGTTTGAGATTTCACTAAACTCACTTTATCATTCCAGGATAAACTCTTATGTATCCTTTTCTTCTATCAGCACTCTGAAAAAGAATTACCCATAATTATTTTTTATAATTATAATTCTAAAATGACTGGGAGGCTTCCGGGAAAAAATTTCAAATTTTCCACTACTCTATTGTCTTGCAACTCACAGAGGAGATTGAGCACAAAGAAAAGAAAACCAAATCAGGTATAGAAATATGGCCAAAAACCATCGGATTCATGTTAGAAAATTTTGTGGGCTATTCAACAGTTCAATATGCCACTTCCGAGTTGCTGCAAGATTTTATTTTCATGCAAATAAAGCTCATTTCCAAAAAAGGTTTTGCGCTTACCGTAGCCTCGTTTTGGAAGAGAGAGCTTTTGGAACTCAAAAATGGCATATTTAATCAGTTCGAAAGCGCAAAACATAACGTCATGTACAAGTCGAGGAATAATTGAAAACAGATCCACAGAAAGAATTAAAGTAAAAAATATCAAAATATACCTTCATTCTGAGAAAGATGAGTGGTTTTGGCGAATTATTTTCTGTGAACTGGTGAGGCTTCTCGTCAGGGTCTAGTGCTCGTTCATTTTCTTTTAGTGAAAAACAAACATACAAAAAATGATTAAAATGGCGTCGACAGATCAACTAGACAAACCCCACATCACCAGCACCGTCAAAAAGGTGTGGCCCTATTTTACTGCACGTGGCGAAGCGTAGCCAAACTGATATTTTTTGGCGCTCTTTGATTCTTAATAGTCTGCGCCACAGACGAAACTAAACGCTGGTTAAGCCCGTCTGCGAAACAGCACCAAAATCCTTGTTCTTGACCCCACCTACTTGGTTTTCCCTGTCCTTAAAAATCATATCCACTTTATTCTGTAACGCACAAGCAGAAGTTAAACGAGTTCGTAGTTCTTAGGTGTTTTGTATAAAACAAACTTAACATAAATAACTTTCTCAAAAGAACAAAACAGAAGGGTAAAGGGTTTGAAGCTGGGGTCAGATCCTGGTCAGTCGAAGAAAAATCCCCGAAGGATCCTTTTCACTAACAAATCTGGATCGGAATCCACGCCATATTAAACTGTTACTAGAAGAAGAATAGTTAAATTAAAACGTGATATCAATACCTTGATCCAGGGCCCTTGCAAGGTAGTAATTTTTAGGGTCGTCTGTGATGTGAAACCTTTTTAATGCTTCTTCCTGAAAGTTTCGTCAAGAAAAAAATTATTAATGAATGCTGTAAAACACGAGCAATGTATGAAATACACGTCTTCAACAAAATCTTGCGTGGAAGGCACTTCAGTGAAGAGAAACGAAAAGAGGAGGCTATTAAAGACAACTTTGACTTTACTCTTCGATTAATACATTCAATGAGTGATATAACTAATATTTCACCTCGTTGTATCCAAAATACGCATGCCAGAGTTTTTTGTTTGCTAAATCATGTGAAAATTAAGAGTGAAGTTACAACAACGTAAACAGCATCTTTTTTTTTAAAAAAAAAAAACATGAATACAGTTTAATCTAGATATTCCGCCAAGAAAGGACCCCGGGAGGCATGGTACATTTCAAATAAGGACACACGTATTAGCGTACAACATATCATTAGTTATAACTAACATAAATTAACGTGGCGTCCACACCATATGTGGGTTAGCCTGCATAGCAAGCGTTTCCGCGCGAGTTCGTCGAGAAAGTTGGGACGAGAGCAAAAAAAAAAGACAGGGCGGGGGAGGGGGAGGGGAATGAAGTAGCCTGCATAGCAAGCGTTTCCGCGCGAGTTCGTCGAGAAAGTTGGGACGAGAGCAAAAAAAAAGAAAGGTCGGGGGAGGGGGAGGGGAATGAAGTAGCCTGCATAGCAAGCGTTTCCGCGCGAGTTCGTCGAGAAAGTTGGGACGAGAGCAAAAAAAAAAGAAAGGACGGGGGAGGGGGAGGGGAATGAAGTAGCCTGCGTAGCAAGCGTTTCCGCGCGAGTTCGTCGAGAAAGTTGGGACGAGAGCAAAAAAAAAAAAAGAAACGACGGACGGGGGGGGGGAATGAAGTAGCCTGCATAGCAAGCGTTTCCGCGCGAGTTCGTCGAGAAAGTGGGGACGAGAAAAAAAAAAAAGAAAGGACGGGGGAGGGGGAGGGGAATGAAGTAGCCTGCGTAGCAAGCGTTTCCGCGCGAGTTCGTCGAGAAAGTTGGGACGAGAGCGAAAAAAAAAAAAAGAATGAGCTTCTCCCTCCCCCTCTTCCATTTTTTTTTGTTCCCACTCTAACTTTCGCGCTATAACTCGACTGGAAACGCTTGCTACGCAAGCTATATGTGGGTTGAGTTTGTTGTTGATTCTCTCCTTTGCTCCGAGAGGTTTTTCTCAGTCTGGCTACTCCCGTTTTCCTCTCTCCTCAAAAACCATTTCCAAATTCTAATTCGATCCGTAAAGCACGGAAACGTTTAAAAGAGTTTTTAAGATTTCCTGAGTGGTTCGCGGATAAACAAATACCAATTTATACTACAATATTACTTTTGAACCGGTGGATGAATTCCTATGGTATGACCATTCAAGTGAAAGATACTGAGCATTATTTTCCTGCGGTGCTGTTCAATACTTACAAGAACATTGCTAGCCTGGGCAGTTCTTGGAATTTCAATGTTTTTACAAAGTCTTGGATCTGCTACTTCACCATCATAAATCTTCAAAATAGTTTTATCTGAAAAAAAGAAGAGCATCAACCATAGAATCACTGGGTTGTGATGCAAAAGTCCTTGACCTCTTGTCTTATACTCACACTATTGATCACAATTCCGATCTCCAATATCTACATTTTGTACTTCAACGTACTTTCAAAGTCAAAGATGGCAAATACACAGTATCTCAGTATGAAAAATTTAACTGAAAACGTAGCCAAATTTATAGTCCAGGAATAATTACCTGGAGGTTGAGTTATCACAATTTTCACAAATGCACTGTCATGGAAGATACGTTTCCCTTGAGCATAAAGTTAAGGAGGGTAATTTTGTTTTGTGTGGGTAAACCAAAGACCTAGTACCCAGTCCCTGGGTACCAGAGGTTTTCATGCTTGTGTGCGGCTGGATGTTTCAGTGTTGGAGGCCGAGAGATCTTAAGCCAAAGGCCGAAGTCACAAGCAGCGAAGCGGAAACCCCGCACATGAAAAGTCACCCAGGGTACCCAGAGTAAAGACCTAGCCATCAAGAACAGATTATTACCTACCAGAGTCACAGTTTAAGTTGCTGGTATTGTCTGTGTTCTGCATGGGATCATCAGGAACTATGCCATCATCTTCATCTGAATTTCCTGCCAAAATAATTAAACAACAAATTTCCAACATGTTGCATGTACAACTGACAAATATGTAGGTAATGCATATATGCCAACTCTCCCGGATTATCCAGGAGTCTCCTGGATACAGCACCCATCTCCCACTCTCCCATACGGGTCACCAAATCTCCCGGAATAAATCGACTGGTGAGTACTTCTGTGCTTTACTTTGGACTTCAGCCCACTTTTTTTTTTTCTGGGGCATTTTCGCAAGTATTTAGCACAAAGGCTATTTCGTCATTACATAGCCTGCGTAGCATGGCGGTTTTGTCGAGCTGGGCGCAGGAGCGGCGTAGCAGCGAAATTCGCGCGCGAAGCGCGCGAGAACGAGCGGCGAAGCCGCGAGAAAAATAAAAACCGCCTGCCCGGATTCGTGACCTTTTCAACTGCCGCCCCCTTCAACTCATTTTGACATCCTGTTGACAACTTGTTTGGTTTCCGTTTTCCCAGCCAATCAGAAATAAAGTGTTGACAGCCTAAACACGACACAAAAGCTCGTGATATAGTGTAAAACGTGACCTTGGCCGGAATTGGAGTTTGCTTGAACAAACACAGGTTTTTTCCTTGTGGCTATCTCGCGCATAGGTGACTACACCGCGTTCTAAACTTGACTGAGTAGATCTTATTTTTGCTGCACTAAGTCTTACATTTATTTAGAGGTCATGGAGTTGGTTTGTTTAATCCGTATTGAGTAATTATTTCCTGTGGTTAATGTTATTTTCGCTAATTAGAATTTGTTGATCTCAGATGCAGTTGTAAAGTACTAATTTCTTTAACCATTCTTAAAGCCTAAAGCTTTTTATTACGGCTAAATAAATATTTTAGTTTCTTTGGTCTTTTCCGACTAAAATGCCTGGATCTGGACAACTACAAACCAAGGAGCCTTGGTTTGTAGTTTCTTTGTCACTGCTTTGTCCGTGAATGTTTTGACGCTGGACCCGGCTTTTTAAGTGTTGTTTGCAGGATGTTGTATTTTTACGTATAGCGCGATCTTCAGATTTGAGTTGTAGCCTAAGCTACACCAAGCAAAAAAGTATGGAGAATTACGCTGTGCGTCTTCTACCGTATGCGATTCATCGACCACAACCGCGGACACCGTTCGATGTATTGCAATGGAGTGCGTTATTCTCTAACACCGAGTAATAGAGAAAATTGAGGTGAACTTTCTCGAAGCACTGAAATTTACTGTTTCTGTCATAAGGTCCATTGCTTTACGGCTCAGCGACAAGATTTCAGATATCTGGTCGTCGATAGTACTTTTTAGAGGAGGAATTGTGATCATACAGGTTTTCGATGAGGATATTTCTTCTTTGGCCATAGCAAAGACAGTAAAGATCATGCTCTTGCCAAATCTTGTTGACAAAATTTCCATGACATCTCTCCTTTGAAGAAGACTGTAAATGGCCATTTCCTGTTTAGGCTTCAATACAATTGCCCTGTTTTCCCGTCAAATATTCAAGATCGACGACGCTCCGGTCAACGCTTCTTTGATATTTTGATTTTGTTTTGCGGAGGTGATTTGTTCAGTCCCTCGAAACTCTCCCATGGGAGATTACCAAAATTTTTGATTGACAGGCGAACATTTCGAACCAATCGGAACGATCCGTACGCTGGCGTGCGGACCGACTCAAAAAAGCCCCCCGTCCGTGCAGGCGGTTTTTCAAGTTGCTTCCGCCCCAATCTCCTCGCGGTTTCTCTGCTCTCGCCCGCCTTTATTACTTAGCGCGCCCAACCAAAACCGCAATGCTACGCAGGCTAGTCATTACAATGATGAATGCAAATTTTGATGGTATGTACTTCATGTAAGAGTTCATATAATGTTCTAAACCATTTCCCTGACAGTTGAGTCAATTTGTGGGGTGGGGTGGGGGTGGGTTTTGTGGACATTTGGGGAGGGGGTTTGTGCAAGAGATAGAGTCTCCAGATTTTAAATCTCCAGAGGTTGGTATCTCTGGTAATGTATAACTGTTAGTACTTTTTGCAACATACAAATTATGATGATCTGTATCCATCACTCACAAGCAAAGTGATGGATTTAATTAATCAATCAATTTACATTACTGTCAAGCTACCTTGTATGAAATGCATTGGTCTCAGGTCATAAAGGCCACTTTTACTTCCCCTACATTGGCATAATAATTCTTGATGGTGAAGGCTGTCTTTGCATAATTTACAATTTGTCAAAGGTGCTAGGAACATTGTTTCAAGTCAAAGGTAAAGCAAAGTTCTTCATTGTTAAACATGGCTTAGAGTTGCTCCAAGGTAACAATGTTTGTGGAAAGTATTACATCTTTGACATGCAAAAAAATAATAATTGACTTGCACTTTTGATTAACTGTACCATTTTTCCTACTTTTTACGGTGTCAGTGTTACAATTTGTCACACAAATCGAAGGTGACCAAAGTCAACTTTTCATTCCATATTAGTCCAATCTTTTCACCAAAAAATACTGATTTAGACACAAATAAGACAAAAATGAATCTTGTCTTTTATACTTTCTTTATATCATGTACACTGTAGGCTTCAATTATTTACGGATGGAGTTCTCAAAGTGATTTAAAGAATTTTATAGTAGAACATTATGTGATCTATCACATGCAGGTTCTACTTTGTACCTTCAA